TAAAACATAGAATATTTTCCTGCCCTCATATTTTTGTATAAAATCATCACAGATGGTAACAGTTTGGTGAATCTTTTTATTTCTTTTTTTTTTTTTTTTAGGAATTCTAGTTCTTACTAATATTACTAGCATTATAACTAGCACTTCTGGCACATTTTATTTCCTTTGTTCTTGATAAAATGTCATGATGAGTGGGGGCTTTCCCAGGGCAGGGTAGTTTTTTTTGTGGAGTGAAAGCAGTCCTGTCCCATCCCTGCTCTTCTTGTTGCATGCCTGTCTAGGAGAGAGCTGTGAAACGCCACTGCCAGGGGACCCAGTGGTGCGTGGTGTGCAGGGCACCTCCGCACCTCCGTGGGACACTGTCTGTGACACAGCTCTATAATTCACTCCGCAGTCATGTGTTCCGTATTAGTCAATAATTCTGCTGAAGTTTGGGGTTTTTTTGACTGTTTAAATGATGCTGTTAATCTTTGTAGTACACTGGGTTTTTCCTCTGTAGTGATGGCCGTCACTGTGCTAGTACACAATTCTATTTTAGCAGTTATGAGGGCTGCATTAGTTGTTAAAATACGTACTACTTCAATTTATTTTTGCAATCTGTTTCTTTGGAACAGTGTATGTTAAAATAGCATATTCTTCAACTGTTGCTTACACTGTCTTAATTAATTAATTAATTAATTAATTTATTTTTCAGCTGGCAGTTTTTACTTGCCTTTCAGAGGCCAACAGCAGAAATGGGAAGGTCACAGAAGAGCACTGATAAATAGCTGCCAGCATCTTTACTGTTTCAAGCATTACCTGATGTGTTACTTGCAGCCAGCTAGGCCTGATCCTATGCAGAAAAAGATGTTATGAGTTAAATTCCTCTTTGGCACAAACTGTTACCTTCACTGAAGTAAACTGGTTTTTAGAATATATGCTGGATGATACAGGTCCTTAGAATATACTTTGTTAATATTAGTAATTGGATTTTTTTTGTATGTTTTAAACTTTCCATGGCTGATGCTGTGTGCTGTTTCATTTTGTTGTGAGGAGGTACTGTAACTGACAGCTGTGGTGGAAGCAGAAACAGCCCAGCACTACACAGGAAGCTGTTGTGTGGCAGGTCCTGTTCCAGTCTATCTGTTCTGCAGATTTTCCATGAGAGATCATAAGGCAGAAGACCCTTTCCAAAGATCCTGGCTGTAATTCTATGACAGTATCTGTGTGCCAGAAATTTTAAAAAAGTATCAGGCTTTCTCATGGTTGTTATTTTTGGGTTTTTTTTGGGTGCTGTGATAGCCTTATGTCAGGGTGTGATATACACCCATATTCTGTGGATTTGAAGAAAGAATCAGAGCTTTGTGTTTCTGTTTGGAAGTTGAAACTTATCAGGAATTAAAAGCTATGTACCAAAGTGTGATGAAATCAGTGGACCTGTGATTTTTGCAGCTGATTTAACAGTCGTGGAAGTGGCTTAACTCATGATATGGTTTTGTAGCATTCCTTTCTCTGTTGTCATACTTGGCTTTGTTTTTTTTGTTTAACACCTCTATGTAAAATAAACTGTAGTTTCTCTGGAAGATATACTGCCTGTGTACAACTTGTGTTCTGTTTCTATCCTGGTGAAGTGGTCCAAGAAGATGGCCAGTAATTTTGAGGTGAAATTTGTTTTCTTCCATGATGGTACTGGAACCACTTTGGAAAGAGGGCAGAATCCTTCATAGTATGTGCTGAGCCTCTGCTACCTTTGCAATGTGAGGGCTGGCATGGGCATATGATTTGAGGATAGATATGAATTACAATCAGCTGAAAATTTAATAGAAGTCTCTTCTTGTACCATCCTGCCCATTGTGGGGCTGGACTTGAAAATATTTCCAGCTGTCAGATTGGACTAGCAACTCGTAGTGAAGTGCAGTGATTCTTTTGCTACCTGGTGGAAGAACTATCTGAATAAATGCTAAGGCTGGGCACTTTGGGAAAGATTATTTCTTTTTATAAATGTTTGCTATTGCAATTTTTCAGAAAGGGTTTGTACACTGTGTAACTACTGTATGTGATCAATTCTTGAGTGAGGTGAATTACATTACATTAAATACTGAATTCTGAAAGACTCCAGGACCAAAAAAAATAATAGAAACCAGAAAGTTACTGGATATTATCTGTTACTCAGCAGCTTGGTTCTTAGAAAAATCTCCTAAAGCTCCCTGAAAAAAAGGCCAATTCTGTAGAAATGATTAATGTGTTAGGTGAGTCAGTTATCTTTCACTGGGAGGACACTGGCTTCAAAATCACTGGAATAAGGTCCAACTGTAGTAAGTCTGCAACAAGTTTTGAACTCTATTTGCAGAAGAATGTTTTTAAAAAGATCCACAGGAAGTTTTCAAGGAAATGTTTTCTTGCCTGTAAATTCTCTGTTGTTCCACCAGAGGGTAGTTTATCCTCTAGCAAACTAGGTATGTTGAAGGAATGATTGGGAAAGGTAACTTAATGATTCCCATTTCCTCTTGTTTTAGATAGGGCAATAAAAATTAACTTCAACAGACTGACCTCATTAGATTAACAAATACTAAAACATATTGTTAGGCTGTGGTATGTTCTTAGGCTGGGACTGGAAAAGGCAGCCAAATTCAACAGTAGTACCATTTCTGTCCTGCTACCAAGGGCTTCATTTGCCCTTCAAGAGTTAGTGCAGTTTGCTTGTGCTGAGAACAGTTGCATTATCAGCTTAAGAGCTATTTCACTTTCATTTGTCAGCTAATGAAGTAGATACAACATGAAGCATTTTTTTATTTCAAATACATAAAATCACTCTAGTTGAAGAGTGTTGGCTTGCTTACAGTTGCTTAAAAGCCCTTCTTTCTGCCACTGTAGTCCCTGCTGCAGCAGTTATTGTTGAGGAGAATATATGTTTACAGTTTGTTGTGGTATTACACACCTGCAGCAGCTCTCTGCTCTGCTCACTGGTAGTGGGTGTGGACTGGAGGATACTCTTTTTATTGTCTTCTTGTCTGTGATATTTTATTTTAAATCAGTTATCAGGAAGCTGTCCTGAGGTAAGGTTTTGTGGCTGTCAGTCCTGAGGTGCAGCACAGACTCTTCTGACATGAGAGCAGGAGTGAGAGCACTGATGACTGAATATTTGGAAGGGTAGCAGAAGAGATGTGAGGACCCACAGTTGTTCAGTTGCCATGTTTCAGTGAAGCACTGTTACTCAGAATTTGTGTCCATTCAAAGTAATGTTTCAGTTCCTCATGGATGTGGAGCTTTCCCTGAGGTGCACAGGACTTCTATTTTTTGTCTTTTATTTCTTTCTGGGTTATTTGTTGTTGTTTTTGTTTGTTTTATGTTTTTGGGTTTTTTTTTTCCCTTTTGAGTCAACTAGGCCTGTAATTCACATTTAGTGGTGTCCCTCTGTGTTACAGACTTCCCCCTCCTTTTATAGTTTTGAATTTGCTTTCAGAAATGGCACATTATTGGTTTCTAATTATAATTTTATATTTATTGGGTAAAAAAGCCCCAACTAAATCGGGGTGAATAATGTGTCTGAATTCTTTTTATTTTGGAGCAAGACAGGTATACCAGTTAACTTGCTTCTATTTTTTACACCAATATTCTACATGATCAAAGTAATATAGAAAAACTTTTGCATGGATCAGGAGAAGACATGTATCGTACTGTCTACCAATGATACAAGAAGCCTAGGCAATTAATCTCTTAGTGCAGGCGCTTTGGTAAGCTATTTTACTAACATGGGATGATTCCAGACCTGAATACCAATCCAGGATCGCTTTTGTCTAAACATTAGACAGACAAAAGAAGGAGAGAAACCCAGGACAGCTTTTCCAAAGTCATACATAGTGTTAGTGCCAGATTTGCTACTTGCGATCTCTTGGATTTTGTTGCCTTTCAAAGTGGAAATAACTTTGGAGAAGACAGACCCATTTATAGCTGATTTAAAGTATTTAGTTTGTACTTTATGTTGTTTCACTGGTAAGCAGTTTACAAAGTGCTAATGCATGGTTAATTGAGACTGTAAGCTTGTCACACAGATGAAGAATGTCTATGTTAGCAATTAATATATTTTAAATAGGCATAAGTAAACTTTGGACAACTGCACTCCATAAAAACAATTCACCATTTATTAAAGATATGTATTAGCTTAGTAATATTTTTGAGAAGTCTGTAAGTGAATATTCATGCGTGCTTCTTTAATTTATGTATCTTATTCATTATTCTGACATTTGGCTATGGTAGAGCTACAGACTGGAACAAAAATGAACACCATTCTCTTTAGAAATGTAGATAGATAATAGTTTTAAATAATATACACATTGAATTCCTGATGTTGTTTTCTTCACCAGCTGGAAAGCCTCTCACTGTCGGAAAGGCATTCAGTATGTTTGACATTAAGGGTGGGGGAATATTTGTGTAATTATAAATGTTAGACTTGCAAATACGCCTTTTGATTGCAACAGCCTGAACTTCCACATGTCAACAGGAGTTTTAACTTCACAAGATAATCCTTGGTTTATGTACCTTGGCACCTCACTCTTTTCTATATAATTTCAGTATGTATATCGCCAAATTGAAGCAGAATTTTACATGTGTGCACATGAGACATTTGGATAATGTAAGTACTCTTGACTAAACTTTGGTTGCTCCAGCTACTGTGTGCAGCTGTAACAGTTTTAGTATTGCTATGAAAGCTGAAATCACACAGCATATGAGTAATTACCTGTGTTCTTAGAGGCTTGTCATATCTTGTGCAGTGCTGCTGAGCCTGGTGTTAATTCTAGAAAGGCTGTTGGTTGCTGAGGTCTGAACAATTTCAAGGAACTTTATGTGATTCTTTCCCAGTTATGTAACACAAAAATTTCAATGCTTTACAGTGTCTCCACAGTGCTTTACAGGTGGGCTGTTTTTAATAGTGTTTAGTGGTGTTATTTTTTTTCTTTCTTCTGAAGGAATTATTTAAAATCCTGATTGTGGGCTGCAGTTTTCATCTGATCTGAGAAGGAAGAAAGAAATAAATAAGATTGAAGCCAGGAACTGTGCTGTGAAGGATTGCACTTTAGGACTGTTTGCTTTAGGATGCTAAATGAAGTGTCTGTGTGCTTCCCATCCTTTCATAGATAAACTGACTTTCACATGCATGATCTGAGTTTTCAAATCCTGGGAGCGATCTCAGAAAAATGTAAGTATTATCTTAAGTATTTCTGTGGTATAACAGACCCCTTGAGACATGCTGACAAGAAAGAAAAAGGAAAAAAATGTGAAGGAAATATATTTCTTGTTGAATGATAAGGGCCTCTGAAGATCTCAAAGGTTTATGCTATCTCTTTTGTAATTTCTTCCTGCACATGTATCTGTGATATGCTTACTTCAGTAGTGCTGCAGCCTCACCCACCTGAGCAGGTGCAAACATAGCAGTGTTGTGGGACACCCTCTCTGACATGGCAGATCTTGAAGGAATGTGTGTGATGCATCACTCAGCTCATGGACATATATGCCATGTGGAGAGCATTCCTGCATAATGTCCTGATGCATATTAATTAGACAAGCAAGATACTCATGTGATGTAAATCAGATCCCTTCTTGGAAATGTACTGATTCATATCACAAGTCAGAACCTAACCCGGTATGCTCGGTATGTCAGAAATAACAATCTGTTTTACAAATAATCTAAACCATTTTTTGATACATTCTGGGAGAGAGACTATTTTATTTTAGTAATTAATGATTAAAGATGTTAATGTTATTAGTGTGATGAGAGAAGGAATATTATCTGTAAAGGCTGTGGAAAGATGGTAGCTTTCAAGAGAACTGGTGTGGCATACAAACCAAAGTGGAGGCTTGGTGATAAGAATGTAAATGTTGTAAGAGAGGAACACAATGGGAGCATGTGGAGAAGTGGAGCTGGGGAAGACTTGTTGTATAGGTGCTCTTCTTGGAACTTCATTATTTATATATCCTTATGGCTGTCTTCCTTCCATTTCCTCATGACTTTCTGTTGGATTGCAGTGAATGCTCTCCGTCTGGACTGCTCACTCTATTTTCCTGTGTGCACCCAGAACTGTGATGACCTCAAGTAATCAAGGTTTTTCTGGCAGTGACACTGTGCTTCTTGATCTCTTTTTTAAGCTGCTGGGCACTACACTCATGATGAAAAGCATGAAAAGTTGCTGCAGCTTCAAGCTTTGCTGTACCTAGGTGTCTGGTGTTTCTGAATTTGCATCATTAAGGTTAGATGATTAGGAGGGCTCTAGGAAAGTTAGTTACATTGCAAATCCCAACAAGCTGAATGGAGAGCTGCTTGAGAGAGATGTTGAAAATGGGGAGTACCTTAAGCAGTGCCATTGCCTGGGACTAGTGTCCTTCAGGACAGGCTCTCTTTCCTGAAATTAGCCATATGGCCTTTTTTGTTCAAAACCTTGTACTGTTCTGTTGCTTGCTTGCCACTCCCAAGGTGTGCTATGCACTACCTCAGCAGTTAAAAGGCAGCAGGCTTGCATTCAGTTCCTTCCTCTGCCTGAGGGAGCTCTAATCAGCATCTCCTATCTTCCAGGAAAGTATCCTGGCTATAAAATACTGAGGTGGGATGGTTGCAGTGTCTCTTGAAGGTGTTTTGCTGTGCGTGGAATAATTAAGTATTAATTGGGAGTGCAAAAGAAGATCAGTTTGCAGATTAGCTCACACATCTGGGAACAGAGAGACATGAATTTTAAGCCCTAGCTCCAGAGAGGATGCTTTTTGTTAGTCCCGCAGTCTGTCCTCAGTCTGGGTTTTCTGAGGATGTCCTTGACTGGAATGCCACAGTTAAGGGAAGCAGCAGAATGTGGAACTATCCATAGATAGGAACAGAAGTGAAACGGATTAAAATGAAAATAGTACTAAAGATGTCAGCTCTCTTGAGCAATAGCAGCTGAGTGTGCTAATAGGCAGGTTTAACTAACAGGGATGATGCTGAGTATCTAATTTTGGAACATAAACACCAAATTAAGCATCTAAATCCTACCTCTAGTGTACTTATACAGATCTAACCATAAATGTCAATGCATGCTGAAAGTGGAAGGTATTTTTACAAGTCCCCAGCCTCTTGTGTGCTTTCACTTCTTTGCTCCTTTTTGTGTTGTATCTCTTAAACCTCCTCCTTGTGTCTCTTGCTTTTCACAGCTTTCACAGATTCTATCAAGAATTGCTCAGTTCCTGTTTGCTAGCTTCCATGTTTAAAATTGCTTCTTCAAATACACTGAGCCATGTATCAAAGCTGATTGTCTTACCAGTGGTTCCTGCAGGCTGTTTTTAGCTTTCATCACTTCCTTATTGGAGTGCTTTTGATACCGTATTAACCAGCTTGACTAATGCATGGCAGCGATGTATCGATGATCTTACTGCTCACTTTTTGTTCTTGCAGGAACTAATCAATGTATTTTATCTGAATTACTATCCTAGTTTTTGATGATTATTTTACTGGATAGTCGTTGGTAATCACCTTTTGAGAGAATAATGGCTCATACAGTATCTTATAAAAATATATAGAGATATAAATAGTAGAAATTTTCTATACTAATAATATTTTCATCGGGGATTTAATCTCTTCCAGTGTTTGGCAACTACGCAGTTTATAGGACTTTGTTCTATTTCCTTAATAAGTATTCCATATAATATCAAGAGAATAAGGTGGTTTTTTCCCCCTCAGTTTCATTACTGGTTCAGAAGAAACTGGGATTATAATTGCATTTTCAAGATGTAATCTGATATAATTTTACTTATCAAGTGCTAAGCATAGAGCAGTGCTTTCTATTTTCAAGGTTGTCATGGATGTTAAAGTTAGCACTTCACTGCAAAATAAAAATTTTTAGCTGAACATGGTCAAGAAAGCTACATTGGTTGTGGTAGTTCGCTTTCACTGTCACAAGGTTTTGCTAATAGAGTGTGCTTGTAAGACTCTTCCAGTAGCTAAGAGAGTGCCACATAATAGAATACCACAGAAATTTATGTAATAAAATATGTGACATCTGTAAACTCTACTGTCTTGAAATTGTTAATACAAAATATGATGTTGTAGACATCAATTTTTGGAGCAGTTCCTATTCAGGAAGTTTAAGTGCCAGAGGCAGCTGTAGTGAATATTTTGAAGAATTTGATTATTTTGAAAAAGTGTATCTGTTCTTCCAGGACCTTACTGGAAGTTCTGAGCATTGTGTTTTGTCTGGGAATGAGAAGAGAATGTGTTAGAGCAATACCTCAGTTCTCAAAAACTAGAAAACCTGATATCAAATGCTTTTTAATAGTAACCAGAAACCTGTTTAGCTGTCTGAAATATCTAACAGTGTGGCAGATTAATGAGTATCTTAGTGATATAGAGAACTGCAGTATCCATTTTAGTAGACCAAAGTGAACTTTTCAAAATACTATTTGTTTTATCTGAAGACACACAGATATTAGTTCCATTCCATTTTAAAGGAAATGGATCATTCTGACATTTTGAGAGCACCAGTAGAGGTAATTTTGACTAAATGCTTACCCACTGATTGCAAAGCACAATGCATTTTCATTCAGCCTCTATATCTTTTTAGACAGAGTAAGAAGCACTTCCTCTTTTAATACTTTCATTAAATGTTTGCACTGCTAATTTAATTATTTTTATCTGTGCCCTGCTTTAAGCCAACTAAGTGCAAATATGGTTTTCATTCAGATGGGTGAATTCAGTTACTGTAGTCAAGGTGTTTAGCTTTTCAATAATTTCTGGCATCATAATTCAAGTTTAAATTAACTGCTTCCACATTTTTTTTTTATTCTCCATCTCCCAAGTAATTTAGTATTAATGATAAAACCTGATTCTCCTTGTGAACTTTTCAATAAAGCAGTTATGATGCTGGTCTAAGGGGAAAAAAATATGCAGATATGCTTGGAATTGCCCAATTAGTAATGTCTTTCTAATTTCCCTGTAGCAGAGAAGTAGTGAAAAGAGCTTTTGATATCCAGCCAAGAAAGTTGCATCATAAAGGTTTTAAAATGACAAATTAAATTCCATTAATTGTGACCTGTTTCTATGAAACTATAGTGATGTTCCTAAGTCAAAACAGATTGAAATCATGCTGTGCAGTTCCTGGCTTGTGCTTTCAGGATATGTATGTTATCAGAATATTTGCTGACTGGTTGAACTGAAGGTATGTTGAAAATGTTATCAACCATTGTTATGATGAGATGCACAAACGGACATTTATTTTTTTTGTCATCATTTTTTTCATTCACATTTTTGTTCTTTTCTGATTTTGTCTCTCTTTGTGTCTTTTTTGCTTAATTCCTCACCTTTTTTTTCAAGCAGCCTCATTTGATTTGAACTTTCCGGTTTGTTCATTGCCTCAGAGAGACATGAACAGAATGTAGACCTGATAAAAAGTAGAATTGGAAAACAACTAGCGTAAACTAACACTGTGTAACAGCTATAAGCCCTCACTCAGAGTTTTTTATTTCATTTTAAAAACTGACTTTTTTAGCCCTTTTTCTTATGTTGTGTACATGTTTATAACCGCCAAATCTGTCACTTTGGTTTTATTCCTGGAAGTGTTGCAGTTTGTATATGGAGCAGAGGGCTTAAAACTAATCTGAGCCGTGTATTTTGTCTTCTGATCACCAAACCTAAAGCCATTTCTGAGCTCCTATGGGCCATATTTTTTTGAAGAAGATTGCAGAGGGGCATAAAAGAACTACATCCTAAATTTACATTTAATTTCCTCCATGCACTTTAATTTGGCCTCCAGAAGTTCGTTTAGCAGAATCCTTAGACTCAATAGAACTCTTGAGCACTAATGAGATACAGAAAGATAAATACACTTCATAATAAATTCATGTTACTATCCACTCAGAACAAATTTTAGGGAGGCAAATGAAAATTAAATATTTATAAATAAAATGAACTGAATTGCAAAACAAATTTCAGTCTTTAAGAGGAAGGGGAAGCCTTCTGAAAGCTAAAATTGCTGTTACAGTAACTGGAAGGCTCAAATATTGCACAAGAGATTTAGCCTGACAGCAGATGAACACTTTAGGGAAATGAGCAACCGAGCAGCTCTGTTTCCAGTAGAAGTAATAGACTCAGCAGATTACTCGTGGAGATTACAACCTCAGGAATGGAGGGCTACTAAGGTGTTTAATCTTTTTGGTAGTTTTAAGCCTTAATGATCTGTGTGTAAAAAGCACACTGAGAATTGCTGCTGAAAGTTTTTAAAAAGGGAGCTCAGACCTCAGTGGAACTTGTCTTCCCAGTAGGGGTAAATACTCTTACCATTTTACTATGCTTTTCAACCTGGGCTTGCTATTTAATCTTCAAATTTTTTTCTGAGCCTTTGCCAGGGTGGATGGATGCTGTCTTTTAGCTAAAAATAACCTTGCTGTTTAAGAGGAATTAACAAAGAATTTGCTTGATGTCCTGCTGAAACCTGCATTCCACTGATAAGCCTTTCAGTTTTAGATGCCTGAAAGGCAGATCTTTGTCTTCATAGAGATTAGATTGCAAATAAAAGACCAGTATGGAAATTTTAACCCAAATAATGACCCTGTGCAGGTCTTTACAGATCAATACTTGTTGATCTCTACTGTAGGGGACAATAAAGATACTTTTTACTACATTTAGCTCAGGATGAGACACGAAGAGGAATATCTGAGAGGAAATTCATTGCTTGATTTCCGTATGGCCTTTCAATGATGCAGTGAAATAAAGACACCTATTTTAAAATATCTCCTCTGTTAGGTAGCCTCAGTTTTGCTTTTCAAGAACATTTCCCTGGCAAGTCCAGCATTTTCCTCTTTCTCTCTTGAGTCAGAGGACTACCCGTGTCACCATTTCTTTGGTAGTTTTAAGGTTCTCCCGTGAGTTTCTCTGTACTTTTGCTTCCAAGTAATAATTTTTCACCTACTTTTTAAATTTTCTCCTTCTTTTTCTCTTTCTGTCACCTGCATACCTGCATTTGTCACTGACTTCTGTGAACACTGGCTCATGGTTGCCTCATGTCTCTTATATCCCTGATGATGTGTACCTGCATTTTCTGTACACTGTAAACCAGGAAAAATGCTGAGTGATTTTGCTTGTTTTATCCATTTCCAAAATTTGAAAATACAGATGTGCTCCTATTGCAATAGTACTTCATAATGTAAGTATTTTCTACATATATATTGCATATAGTACCTTTTGTTTAAAGAACAAAACTGCTATTAGCTTTTTACACAGTTAAAAATTCTTCCTGAATGAGACTTGAATAGATGAAAAAACACAAGAATTTATAAGTGGGTTTTTTTTCCCTTTGAATTATTTTCTTATTAAAATAAGGAGACACATTCCCCAGCAGAATTGGAGAATATAAATTTCTAAACAGTCCGCAATCATATTTCTTGGTTGAAGTATTTATTTTAATAAATATTTATTATGCAGTATAGTTAGCAAATTAAGTATGCCACCTGTCTGTAATCAGGGCTGGACAACATCCTGGAACAGAAGTGAGAGTGAACAAATTGACTGAGGTTGGGATTGTCATTCCTATTGCATAATAGTGAGTGTGTGTCAGTGGGAGGGACAGAGAGAAGAGCAGGGAGATCAGAGGCTCCTGGAAGGGTGTTGGTTACTGTGTTGGTGTGCTGGCAGTTTCAGGGGCTGTATTGTTTTGAGCATGTGGCTAACTGGGGCTAATTCAAGTGATAAAAAGCACAGCTGTCTAAAACAGCAATACTGAGACCCACTGAGTCTGAGTCTTTTTACTGACATAAAAATAGGTTGCATACATTTTTAAAGAGGTATTACCAATACCTTATTTGCTGGCAGATACAGATTTCTTGGGCTGGAGAGCAGAGAGTGAGGTTAGAGGGGCAGGGCTGAAGTGTTCTTACTCAGTGTGTCAAGAACCTTGTGCCAGCATCAGACATGGGGCACTTGCAGTGTCACGGTCATCCCTTTGTAAGCTCTAGGACAGAGAAGTAATTTGGTCTTTGTGTTGCTAGACTGGCTGGTGGAAATCAATTTCAAAATGGGACTTGCATGAAGTGGAAGTGATGATTTATAAGAAATCTGAAAGATTTGATACTGTCTCCTCAAGCCTTATAAGCACCCTGGGAATTCTTACCAAAATCATATTTTCTATGGAAATTGAAAAACCGTAACATTAAGTTTTATTCTATGTACATTTATGTATCCTCATACTTAAAAAAATCAGTCTTCTCTTTAATTTGAAATATAAAATATCCAATCTCAAAAGATTTGAAATATCAAATCTCAGAAGTCTTAACACAGGAATTGCAAAAAAATATATGTATCAGATTATTTTCTATGCTTTCTGTTATATAATTTTGTTTATTCTAAAGATATGGACTAACTTCCTAAAAATAATTCATTGAGACTATCTCATTATGTTTAGAAACTCTGCAGCATTAGCTTTCAGGGTGCTTCACTTTATGAACTGATACTAATAATACAAGTTTTAACAAAAAGAAAAATCATGGAACAATGCAGCAGGGATTTAGAAATTCTATGCAGTGTTCATAAGTTTTTAAGTGCTTTTTGTCTGCAGTTCTCAGGTTCTGTAACTATCAATTCTGCAAAAAAAATCTCGAGTCTTCTTAAATTGTTACTCAAAGACTTTCTAAGGTGGAACTCAGTGGCACAGGAAGAAGTTCACGACTTCAGTTTTGTGAAAGTTTAAAGATGAACCTAGCTGGCTGCACCAATGCAATAAAGGCAAGAACAGAAACATCTTACATTTAGTGGCTTGCTTGGATGTTTGCATCTTCATGGGAAAGAAGTTTTGTGCAATCAGTTGAAAGGTGTATAAAAGCTTTTTCTCTGCAAGCACCATGTGAGAAATCTCATAACCATACCCCATGCAGTATAGAGAAATTTGAGATAAATAAGCAAGTTTCATATGACTTCAGTCGTCTTACATTGTTATCTAGGTTTCTTCTATAAGGGAAACTGTAACTTCCTCCTATTTTAAGATGCGGTTTTGTCACCATTTTAGATTAAATTGGGTGCAGGTTGCTGCTCTGTACTTGAAGACTTTTTTTCCCCCCGTAGGTGTTTGTTGACTCACACTGGGGTTTATGTTTCTGAAAGACTGTTGCCTGGAGTGCTTTCTCTTCACTTTGGAGGTTAATTTTCACCTTAATCTGTATCTTGATCTCACTGAATGTGAGCATACAAAGGCCCGTAGGAATGTGCAGCTGAGGGAGGACAGGTTTCTTCCTTTCAGCGATGCTTGAGTTCAGGAGTTTGTCAGGTGCCACAGGGACGTCCCTGAGCCCATGCAGAATTGTCCTCCGAGAGTGGCAGTCCATTTTGTTTGACCATAGAAGGAATCTTCCTACCCTGCTGAAACAGTGTTCTTTATCATAAATGGTAAAAACAAATGTGATCAATCCTGCTTTCAGACTGTGTTTCAGAGTATTGTATTACATAAGAGAGGATTTGTGCTGGGTATAGGCAGGTACCTTTAAGGAAACAGCATTAATTAAAAAATCAATTTCCATGACACTTTCTAAGCTTGCACTATTTATAGAAAATAATTAAATTAATTTATTATATTATTTAATTTGATTTATCTTAAAAAAAATATTTTGTACAGAAAAATAATTTTATTGTGATTTAGGTTTCCTTCCAGTGAAAATACGGAGGATGGGTTTGATTCTGGAATCTGCTGCCCATGTGAATAACACCAGGAAATGAACAACTAGAAAATTGGTGTCAAAATTTGGAGTGAGCCCATGGTCTTTAAATTATTGATGTTGAATCCAGTGACTTCAGCATTAATGTCTTTGGATTTAATTGTAAGTATTTCAGAAATCTGTCTCCTGCTTTTCCTTTAGTCTCTTTGTGTTTCATATTGTTGTTTTCCTGCTGATTTTGGTTGAATTTTCCCAGGTGTTTTTTCTTTCAACTTTTCCCTAGCAAACTTCGGAAGTCTGCAAAATATTTGAAGAAAATAGGAGGAAAAGCTGTGGGTTTGTTTACCACAGTGTGTTTTTCCAAGAATGCTTTGTGAATATTAATCTTTTTTTTTTTATGGAAAAAACACTTTCTTAATCATTGTGGGAAGGTGACAGTGCTTCAGCCACTGTAAATAAAACAGAATTCTCTTACAGTATTCTCTTTCAATAAACCCCAAGGGTTTTTTTGTACTGTAAGCATTATAACAATATTACTCATTAATCATAATCTGGAACTGAGCTTCAACTTTAGCTTTCAAACCTGTTCCAAAGAATAGAAAAGGAGAAGACTAGGGAATTTTTTGTATGGACATGTCCTCTGGCCGTATGTTTTTTTACCTTGGAGGTAAACTTTCTTTGTGTACTTTGGCTCTTGTTTTAAACTATTCATTCTAGAGAAACAAAATAAAGGAAAAAAAGGGGCTTACAGAAGCATGCTTTTGACCTGATCACAGCTACTACAGAGCTTCCAATTTTTGTGGTATTAAAGAACAAAGAGACTTCACTGAAGCACTGGGTAATAAAATGAAATAATGGAAAATGTGTCTATGAGGTTAAAATAATTGTAGTGATACAATACTGTGAGGACTATGCCAAAGCACAAAGGGATGATTTGTTCTTAATTTTTGTTGCCAATGTCCTCTGTTGTTAAACACAACTCAACAAAACATTATCTCAGAATCAAAAGAGAGAATTCTTAATGTCTGTCCTGTATGTGATAATGCTGATTCAAACCTTTCTTGTCCAAATAATTTCTAAACTTCCATTGATCAGAAAAAAGCACATGTTCAGCAACCTGCCTACAAGACCTAATTTCTGTTCATCTTGTTCAATATCAATGGTGTAAATTCTGTGGCTCAACTTGCCATTGTCATTTAGGCTGAATTACTTCATGCATGCGGAATGGCATTAATTCAAATGGAATTAAATGTGTGGGACTATTCTGTGGAAAAAAAGATGGAATTTTCTTAGCTGTTTCTTTGGTATCAGAAATCTGTCTGCTTTTTAAGAAGGCAAGTTCATTAAATTCCAGAGCATATCACTGCTTGTGACTTTCATTTGTATGTGTGGTCACTGTAAAGTAAGATACTTGTTCCACTACTAATGTTTTCATCTCAAGATGTAAAAACATAGATGCATAAGGTGATGTTTTCTGGCTGTATATCTATGAAGCTAAAACTAATTTTCAACATCTTAGCTTTTGAAAACTTTTATCTTGTTTATCTGTGATGTGTTAGCAGCCTCTGCTTGTGTTACCTTTCTATGTCTGATGAGAGGTCGATGTACCTTTACAAAAAGTTGTTTAAAAGCCTGGTTTTACTGAAGTCAACATCAGCTACAGCTGTTAACAGCAGTGGGACTAAGAATTTGACCTCAGCAACCTCTGGAAAGAGAATTCTCACTTAGAACAAAACCATCTTAAAGTTCTTTTTCAGGATGAATTTTACTAAGGAAAAGCACCAAAGCTTAAGTGCAACATAAAAATAACAGTTTTGTCTGGCTCAGGACCTGAATGTTCTAGAGATCTATTTCATCCCCTTTAAGGTGTATGGCCAGAGTCCTGGTATGTACTTCTCTCATTTATAAACCAATCTAGCATATTATAAGTATGGAAAATACTGCATAGAAGAAACTACTTTTGTTGTTGCTTTAGAGATAAATTATTGACACTCACCTTTGACTTCAATTCTGTGGATAATTTCCTTGATTGCCTTTGATGGGCTCAGTTCGGATTAGGGTATTGGTCACTGATCTCCTCTACTGGGAAAATGCCATTTGTGATTACTTTGTCATTACTGCTTACTAATGATCTTAAAGATACAAAAGTGTACAAATAATTGAACATATGGAACCTAGGAGTACAAATGATTTTTCATTTTTAAGGTGGTATTTTGGAACAACATGATATTATTTGATAATTGTTTCACTTGACAGCAGTGCTACTTTAATTTTTCCTCTTTTGATGGCTTGCACTACAGATGTGTGTTCCCATCCTAAAAAGTTATGTGAATGCAATAAAGGAGGAGTTGATTTAAGTCAAATAATATGCATGTGTTTTGATGGTCACGCTTACTTGGACAACTGCTTTTTGTTAGCATTGCTTTGTTGGTGTTTCATTTTTGACAACTTCAGCAAAAAGAAGGTGGACAAATAAAGCCTGTACATTCATCAGGCATATGAACTTGGCACTTGACTCAAGCTTTGATGTTTGTTCCATTTTCCTTTTATAGAAAATGTTTCTTGTGAAAAAAACCAAATGATGTCCACATTTGACTCAACAAACACAGCTGGTGTTTGCATCCTTGAAGTCACTTGACTTGCTTATTATCTTGACATTAGTACCAATGGGTTCTACTAGTTTGAAGTACTAGAAATACATCTGACTTCTTTCCACCCCTTCTCCGCCTTCATTTATGCATTGAAGTGTTAGAGCATGCAATTTCTATAATTCTACATTTTAGGAATTACATTTTATCCTTGGATTTTCCCTCTGGACCCCTCATCATCAGTACAAGGTCTTTGCATCAATCTTCCTGCATGTACCTGAATTTCGTCATTCATTGAAGGAGTTGTGTTCCTGGAAATAGAAAACAAAGTACAGAGGCACCAGACTAATTAATTTACAGAATAGGATTTTTCTTTTCATCCTCATTAGTTGGAAAGAATAAAATTACATCAGAAGGCTTTTTGTTTTTAATTAACAACTGGCAGAAAGGTGGGCTAAGTATTTTTTATGTCTACAGATGTGCAAATCTATATTATGAAGTATGAGGAAAATTCCCTGCTGCTTAGGGAACATACCTAAGATCTGTAACTGTTAAAGAGCTGTGGATTTTTCAAACAGAAAGGGGATTCCTTTTAAATATCAGCAACTAATTTAGCCCAAATAGCAGAATCTCATACAGGAAATGAACTAAAAATCTCTCTCACAATATGAAGATGTGCAGTCATCCTGGACTGAGTAGATTTCCTGTGGCCTTTTAGACACTAACTGCAATAAAACAAGCACTTAAATTTTCTGTTTATGAAATCAAAGCTCATGCAGTTGTACTTCTGTGAGTAAGATTTATGGTTAAATGTAATAAAAAGTGCAGGCCAGCCTGAGTCACAGCATTATTCCCTGCAGGGAACCACTGCAATCGGTGGGCAGTACTGTTGTCATCAGTGGGGCTGTTGACTCTCTGGAATGGTTGTACAGATGGGCTTTGCAGATAGGTTAGAGTTTGTTCAGAGGGAGTATGTCAACATTAATTTCTGGCAAAATTAAACTGCCCCACATGAGGTGAAAGTGAAGTTAAAATTTATTCCATGAGGCTTGGTGGTGTGCTCACCTGTCTGTGTCAGGAATGTTGTGTGTGTGCATCATCAGTTTAACCACAGTCCATTTAGCAGCTGTATGTTTACGCAGAGCCTTTGTGTGCACAGAACTATATTCATTCCAACAGCCTCAGAACTGGAACAGGTTTCTGCATGATCTTTTCCCCTTTTTCCTAGATCAACTCAGCTCTCTTCACTTTGCAATGGATCAGATTGATCTATTGTTGCATTGGAATATTTTGAATAGTAGGGTAGCTCCTGACTATCAATAATAATCATTCACCAACATAAATCAAATTTTCTATGTACAGGAGGGCAAGCTAAACAATCTGGTATGTGATATTATAATTTTCATATAGGTATGGAATGGGTTTGTTTAAATCCTTTAGGCTACCAATGTCATTACATAAGAATGAAAAATATTTGCTATTTTCTTTCCAAGAAGGCACTGGAACATCACTTGTAATCCAGAGTTGAATCTCCTTAAAAGAGAAGGCCATGGTTTGCATTGCTGTTCGTGGATTAGGACTATGCCCCAAACCATCAGAATGTGGTTGCCATTGTACTGGGCAAATGGAAAGTGTTGAACTCATGCCACACAGACGGCCAGGATCTCAGTTAGCTAATGTTGCTTATGCCTCACGGTGTCCACTTTTACAGTGGATACATTCATGCAAAGCTCAAAGGAGGATTGGAATTAGAAATGAGATAAGACAGGAGCTCTGCCTCCTAAATAGCTACCCATCTTTTTTTTAATATGATGGTAGTGTGGGCAGTTTAATGTTTCTCAGCCTTTCCACACCAAATAATACAAAAAACTGAGGAAAGTAACATGGAGGAGTGAAGCAAATCATATGTATTAAAATATGTAATAAGTATGTCTATTTGAATTAGAAGAATATAAACATTTGCACAATCCCAAACAAGTAATTTGTTGCTAGTAACCTTTATTGCAAATTTGCTGTTGATTCATTAGGGTTATGAATTTACCTGGAAACAGAAATTGAGGTAGAGAGAGAAGTTAATTGGCAGTAGCTGTACTTGACATCAGTGAAAGTGCAAATGGATTTTCTAATGCATGCTATTATCTTGAATATATGGTATGCTGTGGTAGCACACTGTGTGCCATATGCCTCACCCTTTCATGTTACTCCCCCTCATTTTTAATGACTCGTTCTGTATATTAAGTGTGGAAACTGTTCCAAGAGTGAGACTGGCACATTCTTTATACAGCTGAATTGACACGTCTGAAGCTGCCTCTGGCTACTGTTTATAGACTGCCTTGCCTTTCTTTCATGGAGAATATGTTTTGCCTAATTTTAGTCATGCAAACCCTTCAGCGTGATGTTGTCATAAGTCCTTGTGCAGTAGGAGGCAGCAGTCTGGCAACCTGGCCATATATGGCTTTTATGTTGTTGCCATATGCCTGCTCTGACATTACCTGAGCATCACATGCATTTCATTTTGTGTGAACTAAGCATATTATGGGGGAAGGAGGCTTCCTGCAAGAGACAAAACTGTCT